AAGCTCCAGCCCAAAATACTCAAAGTAGAAAAAGAAACAGAGCGGAAAAAACAACTTCTAATCGTAAGTACATATTTACAAGCGTTATTCTATCTTGCTTCACTTAAGTGAGCAATAAACGATGACGATGACAAAAGTGTTGATTATTACAATTATATGTTATCGTACAGAGAGAAAGAAGCAACGACAACGAATTGGCATTCAATTGCAGGAGGCACGTGAAAAGTTTACAAGTATTGCAGAAAACCATGCTGAGTCTTTACATGTAACATATCCTATCAAATAACGCAGTAATAATTGTAAACAATAGTATGTACTTAATGATAATAATATATTGTATTTCATTACAGTTGTTTTCGAAAGCTGCAATGATGACAGCTGAAACTGATCGTGCGCGAAACACTTTGGAAGAACGACGGGTTGATTTGGAAGAACGATGGCTTAAAATTGAAGAAAAAAGATTAATGATTGATAAACTACATACGGAAGCGTTAAATAAAACGCATACGATTCTCGAGATTCTTATACGTTGTGACGTGACAAGTCGCGTCTCCTTCCCGGACGGGCTCGGCTGAGGGGAATTCGGGGATGCCTCCTCGTTAGAGCGAGAGAAGGGCGGTTGCGTATATGAATTGGTCTAATTAGCTGTTAAGTTTTTAAGGGATTGCCGATGGTGGCCGGACTCAATTTGTAACGGCCGGGGGCCGCAACGAGGAAGGGCAGAGGATTAAGGAGACGGCCAGGGGACATGGCTGAAAGTCGGATCGCCCGGACCTCCCCGCAAGTGCATGAGCGTCGCCGGCCGGAGTTCACTCCACACTCGGTCGTAACAGCGGCCGGATAGAAGCGATCTGGAAGACCCCGGGACACCACTGAGAGAAACGCCAGTCAGGCCGGGGTCCCGAGGGGATGCCGGCGGACGGGGCCGAGGCCCGGTCAGCCTGACCCCGAACGCCGACTCGATCATCGCGGCCCGGACAGCCGGTTGATTCGAACAGCCCGCGCCGAATCGGAGATAGTTGGAGCGGCGCCGCCGGAAGGGGAGGCGCGCGAGAGGCTGAGGCGCCGAGGAGCGCGCCCTAGAATTGGAGTGGCGCCCCCGGAAGGAGCGGCGCACGTGCGGCCTAGGCGCAGGAGCGCTAGGATCGGCAATCCGGTCGAGCGACACGCTACAGCGCAGGCGCGGGGAACCGGCGCGATCCCGGCAGGCCGTCGTTTCCGACACTGTCGTGCCGGCTAAAGAGCAGAGAGCATCTCCCGGATGACGAGCTGCCCGGACTACCAAAGGGACGACAACGAATTGTAAGGTCACCACTCTGGCGTCCCCGCGTTAAGAAAAGAGGGTTCGCTCGAGGCATCGGCCCGTGGCACACGTTGGTTACCGGAGCGCCGCAGGATACCTGTGGACAGAGCGAGGTCAGAGCGTGCAATACCTTGCGCTCGCATTGAAGTAGAGTCGGGTGGAAATCGTGCCAGGGCCTTGCCGAGAGTGGGCTCTCTAGTGCGTAGAGACCATTTGTGCCCTCCCCGCGAGCACCGCCACGGCCGACAGTCGCGTGGCGTTGAGATGTGTGAATCGGATTAATCGGGTCGAATTATGTAGCGTCTCGTCGAATTAATGTAAGTAATCGTATCGCGTTAGTCGTAATCGTGTCGCGTTTCATTGTGATAGAGTTTATGTTTGTAATCGTGTTGCGTTTTGGCCATATTATTTAAGCTCGTAATCGTGTCGCGTCTTGGCCATATTATTGAGAGTGATGCCTTGCGTGGCGATAACGGGAGCGAGTGGTGCGGGTAACGGCGAGCCGCGAGTGGTCATGTAATTTGAAGGGCACTCGCCCTCGTATTTGAGTGACGTATCCGGGCTCTCGAGGACGGCGAATATTGTGTTTGGCGGGACGGAAAGATCGACGGGATCGGCGCGGGGCCGCGGAATCTCCGTGCTTGCGAGAGAATTCGGGATTCGCGTGGCAAGCCGCGGGATCGTCCGCGATACGAGTCCTTATTTCGTGTTCAGGAACAATCGCCGGCCAGCGTGGTCGACTCGGCGAGATCGCCCATAATTTTTGCGTCGTGCGGAATCGAGGTGGCCCGGGTGCGCGTTGAGGGAGCAACCGAGGGTGCGGCGAGTCGGTTCGTCGGCCTCGTGGCGTAAGTTCGTTGTGAGTTTGAAGCCAGGTACCGCGATACCTGAGTCGGAATCATAATTGTTTCGTATGTCAAGCTTCGTGTGTTCGTCTGCGTCTATATGTTGCGTTACAGTGTGAAAGATTCGACATTACCGCGTGCACTTATTGCGTTTGCGGCATTCGTGCGTCAGCCTATCCGACATTTTTGCGGTAATACGAGAAACTCAGACCGATTATATTGATATTATCTGACCAAATATATTCTGTTATTATTATTTATTTTTTTGTGAGTGTGATTAATTGTGTGACGCCTCTCTCCGAATTCCCTGAAAGAGCCCTACGCCCTGAGGTATTGCCGAGAATATCGCGTCAGACATATTAGTGTACGGTGGTGCGATCCGTCGCACCTGGCGCCCAATCTTTTGGTGTCGGAATTAGTTGTGCGTGCTGCCAATCCTCGATAGCCCTCCACCGGATTGCGAGACCGGGGGAAAAAGCGTCGCAGCGTGAATCGTGAGTGAGATTGCAAGCTTGCAATATTTACTTTTATATGTTTCGTAATATGTTCTTTAATTAGTAAACGCGAACTTAGCAATGTATACTATGATATTACAATGTGTTATTTACTACGTTATATAAGAACTGTGCTATTTAGTTTTTGAAGCAATATTCTCGTCCAATATATGAATTATTTTTGCAACTTATGTTAAGAAATTATTTTCAAAGATATGATACATTGCCTTTATGTTGATAATATTGTAGAGAGATCTGCCATACTATATTGAATGTAAAGTGTGTAGGAAAAAATGTTGCGCTATAGAATGAAAACCTACATAGTAGGATTATAAAAACTATGCTAACTGCATATTTGCGGATAGTTTATAATTACATTGTTTGACGTGATATTTATGTATGGAACAAGATCTTTTCTATGCAACTAAGACATATAATGATCTCAATAAAAGCAATATAATACAAATCTCTGATAAAAGCAATTTTTGAAACTGTACAGATTATTCAACCAAAACTCTACGTATTACTGAAAAAAAGGTAAGTACTTATAATCTATTCTTATACTCTATTCTTACATTCTATTCTTATATTCCTTATGTTCTTATATTCTAAGTAGGATACATAATATTGATCTCTCAACTTTGATCTTTATCAGTATTAATGTTCATAGTCGTTCACCTGAAAAATAAGTTTCAACTATATTTTTTCCATAATATAGACGTTTGAACTGGCTAATAATTTTTACGTATGTAACATTTGCTAACATTTCTTTCATTTCGCGCCAAGTATTAAAAATTATTGCTTTGCAACGATCGTTTTAATTCACAGAAGCACACATAATGGAAAAGTGTTGCAGCTAAAAAAAACATTAACATAACATACAACTTACATTATACCGTATTGACGAGCGATAAAACGCTCTTGTATGCGAAGTGCAAGTGCCCGTCCTTGATATGCTTGGCCTCTGTCATCCTCTTCTACAGCAATATTCCGTCTATTGTTATGATGAAAGTTTTCCACATCTATGTCGTCAAAATCGACATCCTGCACGCGATGCGCAATCCGCATATTTTGCAATACAGCACATGCATTTACGATCCTTCCAGCTACGCCTGGTTCGTACATGAGCCGTCTTTGAGCTGATAGACATCTAAACACCGCCTTCCACACGCCAAATAAACGCTCCACGCAGGATCTAGCACTGCATAGGTCATCATTGTAACGGAACCTTGGCGTATTGGGTACTTCATGTTTAAGAGGAGTCATTAACCAAGGCTCTAACGTGTATCCATCGTCACCTGTATAAAATTGGAAAAAGATTCGAACAATGAATAACCCATTCCTATATAAATTCTGAAGAAAGCTTGAAATATGGGCTAATACCAACCGAAAGACACAATATAACAACAAATACACGAATATCTTAAGCTTTCGGTTTGTATCGCTCCTATTAATAATTTTAATCTCACTATTTATTGAATACATTTTATGTATAACTTACCAATCAACCAAGTATTTCGTTCGCCATTGTCAAACTTTCTTTGCATGACACGACGTACAGGTGAATTAGACCATATATACGCGTCATGTCGTGCACCAGGAAATCGTGCATTCACATTAAGGATCTTTAAATCAGGATCACCAATCTATAAGAATTAAAACATTGTTAAACCAGATTTTTATTATAAAAAACCAGATGCATACCGATTTCTTAATAAATAATATGTACCGCTGAGTATAAGACAGACTGACAAGGAGAGGGAGAGAGGGAGGAGATACAGAGAAAAAGAATAAGAGAAATCATTTTGCACACAATAATAGTATTATGTTTGTCTACGTACTACTTGAACATTGAGTGTGTGATCACCCCAATGATTCACATAAGCCTCTTCGTGTACGATTGGTCCTTTTATATTGATGTAAGTGCAATCGATAGCCCCAATTGCACCTATAAAGGGTTGAGGTGCATCTGCAAATTTCTCGCGAGCTCTGTGACGATCAACATCCGTCATGGGAAATTTCACCCATCGACGCAGCAATATCGCGTTTATTGCGTCAGTTACTCTTCTTAAACAACGGCTGACAGACGGTTGACTAATAGCAATATCCCACTGCTCTGCGATCGAACCCTGATAACAACCAACGGCGTAGAACCTCAGGGCAGTTAATACCTGTACAAAAAGTAATATACATAAGGTTCTTGCACACGAAATAATGGCGGTGTTTCCGTATATCCGGAAACATCCATTTCCATTTTAATTTAAAACGTTTATATTACAAACTAAATACCGTACTTTCTTCATTAAAATAATCTCCATCGATTTGAATGCACTTCTTGCAACATGACCTTCACGGCCTTTCTGTTTTCCGAAACATCATTGCCTGTCGTCCTCCATATGTTCATAAAAAAGGCCGTAAAGGGCATGTATCACGTAGGAAGGAGTGCGTTGAAATAGACTATTTTGATGAAGAAAATATGCATTAAGTTTGTATAGTGTAAAAGTTTAAAATAAAAAATAAAAAATTGCCATTTTATGTGCAACAACGTAATAAAAAGGAAATATATTACAAATAAACTATTAATATTTTTGAAAAAGTTTTTTTTGTTTGATCATAACAAATCACATATGTTTCATATCCATTATTTTAAAATCATTATTAACTGTAACACATTATTATAGATAACATGGTATTGTTGCATACTATTTCAAATAAGGGCGCGGGCACACGAGAAGTTTGGACCGCGCGGTAGACCGTGCACACGAGCGGTTTGTGCCGCGCGGCAGAACCGCGCAGTCCAAACTGCTCGTGTGCCCGCGCCCTAAATGTAAACAGCAATACATACCTGAAGTTCAGGAATCAGAGCATCCACGCGTCTATATTCTAATCTTTCTCTTAAAGCATCTGTTACTTCCATAACTATTTCTGGAGTAACTCTGTATAATTTTATAAATTCTGTTTCGTGAAGATCAAACGGATCGTGTAGCTCTCGCCAATTTTGCCTGTCTATACGCCTTTCAAACCGTCCTACTCGATGCTCCAAATGTATCAAGTCCCACCCGAGAAATTCTCCTGCCATTAATATAATACTGAAACAAGAATCGTATTTTATAATTGACAATATTTACATATATTGCTCAACACAAAGAATAATTAAATATTAAAAGAAAAAAATATATATGTGTGTATGTATGTATATACATATGTGCTAAAAGTTATTACATTATACCTCAATTACCTTATTCTATTTGCAAGTTATCGGAACAATCAACAAGGCTTGGGAGAGACTGGAGAAGGTTGAACACGAGCGGGACGTGGTCCCGCGCGAAGAACTGATTCGACAAGAGAAGTTGGAGCAGTTAGCAGCCAGATTTAACCGGAAGGCTAGCATGTGCGAGACATGGTTGTCAGAGAATCAGCGATTGGTATCGCGGGATAACTTTGGTTTCGATCTCGCTGCCGTAGAAGCCGCCGCGAAGAAGCACGAAGCTTATAGGGACTGATAGGGGGTTTAGGGGCCTATTCTGTAAATGTTAACAATATTATTATTTGCTTAGCAGATGTATACAATGTACCATTTTTTCCCATTTATATAATATTTTTTTTAACCTCAATCTCTTTTTTTTTAACTTTTCTTTCCCTTAAACGGGGAATCTTAACCTGTCCCTTCTCTTTTTATACTTTTAATATAATAAAATGGCACTCGATTTTACCTTTTCTTTAACTCCAGAATCCTCTTCTTCGAAGAATACGTGGGATGAAAGCCGGGATCGAACAACGGATATTACACTTTACAATTATTGTTATTCA